ATTAAACAAAGTGGTACGTTAATAAATTAAATAATATCTTTGTTGATGTTTTTAACAGAGATATAATAAAAACAGTCAATATGATTATATTAGTAGTTTTAATCATACAGCCGATACAATTGTATATGCGTGAGCGACAGTTGATGCGCGGCGCGCGTGAACAGTAACGAAAACGGAAACTATATAAACATAATAACTCAATACGTGGAGATGTGAAAACGCATCTAGCGCCAAATACAAATGGCATTTATTATTAAAGAGTTTTACTTCAACAATCTTTTTTTCAATTTTTTAAATTTGCCATGATCCATATAAGAAAACTTGATACTCTTGTGTCAACGTTTGGATGTCCCATTCCCGATTCGCAAATATAAAAGGAAGAGATGATTCCAATTTGAGTTCCATTGGCTACTAAAGGGCTTCCAGTATCATAGTAATCACCCTGAAATAAAGATACGATTATTAATAACAAAATGTTAAAAATTATAAATAACAATAAATTGTTTACTATTGCAAATTGTTGCTATAATAATTTTAGTATTAAGCTATAATTAAAATCGGCATATTATTATAAGATGCTATTAATGTAATTTTTTATATTATTAATATTCTTTCGGTGTTGTAAAACATAATAAGCATATATGTATCAATTCGTTTTATAATATTAATAATTGACACTTTACGTCGCACATTCCTGCTCCTTTTCTTGGCAAAGTACAAATTTGAGTATTTTTTGCACCCCATAGCTTCTCGCACTTTTCTTGCGGATAAACACTCATATCAATTTCTTGCAAGTTATTCGAAACCTCTTCATCATTCTAAAAAGGGTAAGTGCGTATTTGGACATTTGAAAGAAATGACGAACAATAAATAATTATTACATATCTTCTCACTTGTTACTTTTAATTTGTTATATTATATATGAAAAGAAAATAATGAGTTTTTCTTCGAAAAAATTGTTTTATTTTAGACATTAAACTAGAAAATTCCGATATCATGAGTTCGATATTACCATTGTAAAATCCCATTCGGATAACGTGCACGACTTGCCCTCGAGATTCTCATCGCTTGTCATAAGATTTATCGGTTGCACTAGCTCGTTGTAATTGATAGGAGTTTTAAGATGAATCAAGGCGATATCATACAGTCGAATGTCGCCCATTATGTAATCTTCGTGGATGCTAACACTTTCTATGTCATAAACATCTCCTGATTCGTTCAAGAAGTTTGTTCCGACATGAGCTTTTAGCATATACAGCTCATATTTGAGAAATCTAATGAGATAAAAAGATCATACATATGTACTAAGTATGTATATGTATGTATACTTAATTTCACATATTATGTCCATTTGACTTATTAAAAGACTAGTTTTATAATTATATTTTACTAATACGGTATTGACATAGATTTAGAATGTGTAACATACCCTGCGACACAACTTGCTGCGGTTAATATGTTACAATTATTGATAATAGATCCACCGCAATAGTGTTTATCGTCATATCTCAATGAAACTTGATACGGAAATTTGCCGATGGGAGCATACTTTCCACCGATGATATAAGGTGATGGATCTCCTTATTGACAAAAATAAATTAATCATGTTAATATACGCCGAAATTAATATTTGTTACATTACTACATACACTTTTAACAATAATAATAAAACATTGTGTCAATTTTACGGCTAAGT